GTTCAGCACCACGGTCAGCGCCCGGCGCCCTCCGGCCGGCGGAGCGGGGCACGGCGAAGCGCGGAGGGAGCGCGGATGAAGGAAGCTCTGCCACGACGCTGATGTTTTTTACGGGGAGCAGAAGTCAAATGAAAGGCCAAAGCATGATATTTGGCCTCCTGTACTGTATTTTAAACGGACGAAAGGATAAAGCTATTTCACTGACGCAAATGGAATAGAAAAACCCATTTCTGCATTACCATCATGCTCTTCACAATGTGTTAGACCGAGACCAATTTGTGCAGCAATAGGGTTTTTTTTCTCCTCATTACAGTAAGCGGCAAAATTGTCTGTCTGCTGAGGGCAAGAGTAACAGCTGCCGATTACCAGATCTAGGGTTAAATTAAAGAGCTGAAAGAGAAAAGGCATAAAGGGAGGAAGTGACACATTATGTTCAAAAAGATCCATTCTATATTTCACCCCAACTCCCACCGAAGAAATGTGACAGATGACATCCCTTACTGTGATGGCACAGGTTCTGCGGTGAGATTGATCCGCAGCACTTCTATGTACATCCTTGGAGGTGAGCAGGAAAAAGTTAGTGAACCACTAAAAAAATACAGAAGTACAACCAGCATCGACTCTTGCTTCCAGACAAAAGAGGAAGACAGAGACTGGATGTATTCTAAGACTCAGGACTGCTTGAAGTACTTACAGGATCTGTTAGCCTTGAGGAAAAAATACCTTGACAACATCAATAAATTGAAATCCATACACATGGCTGCAGATTCCCCAATGTCCACAAAATCATCCAAAACTGGAAAGAAGTCATTTTTTCCACTTCCTTCTGAAGAGTCTTCTAAGGTAATTCCTAAGAACTTTTGCCATGTGCTTGGCCATAAGTCATGAAGCAATTAGCTATATGACCTATGTTGATTTTCTGTTTTATTGGTCTCAGCCAGTTGTCTTTTTACTGTTACATCATTTGAAATGCTGCTAGATACCTTAAGATTCTTTCTGAGTAGTGGGAAATTAAGTGTGAAAGACTGGTCATGGAAAGAAACGTATATACCTGTGTTTGGGTGGTGGGAAAGAAAATGGGAAAAGGAAAGAGATATGTGAGTATGGGAAGTATCTGAAAAAAATATTATGGAGGAGGGACCTGTTCTCTTAATACTCTGATGGGCTACTTAAGTGCCTCAGAGTTCTCCACAATGGTTATTTATAGCTGTTAATCACTGTCAAGCACAGTAATCCCTAGGTTTGCTGGCAGTCTTTTTATTGGCATAAAATTACCTACACAAAATAATTGTAAATTAATTGAAACAAATAGGATTTTTTTCTGACTGGTCAGATAGTTTGCCAGTGCTACATGTAACATCAGTGCAAGCTCTACCGGTAGGCTGTAGGTCATGAGGAATTCTTAAGGGTTCCTTTCTCTGTTCATTAGTAAGTTGGCAGGTCATTTTAAGACAATATAAATCTACACCCTTTACTGTAATGCTACCAGAAAAATAACACATCATTTTTGGTGCAGATTATTTCCATGTATCCTAAAGAGAAAAGCATTACAAAGCTTCCTCCTTGTCCCAGTGTATAGAATGTATGTCACTAGATGGTTCAGTGGTTGATCTGAGTCCGGACTTGATTCAGTGAGGACAAAGGAAAAGATTGCATCAGGTGGGGTGAACTGTTTAGGTAACATGACCACAAACATTACTTTGACAGCAGACTCAAGTTACCCAGTGCAGTCTTCAAACTGGATAATAATGGGGAAGGTGGGAAGCGTGGAAGTTTGGCTGACTCACTGGTTAGGCCAGGTAGACTTTACCAAAAAGCTATTGCCACATTTAGATATTCTGTCACAGCAGAATGTCAGAATGGCTGAAGCTGAACTCTGTTGCAGGCATTGCTTAACCAAAGGACAAGGCTTATGTGTTTAGGACTAAATAGCACATTTTTTAATTTTATGTTTTAATCTAATGCTCATTCAGTCAGTGAGATTTCTCATTTGGTTTTATTAGGCTTTGTGTCATCTTTTTAACGCTTTGAATGGTGACTCTCAGAAGCTAGCAATAGTAGTAGGAAACAATACTCACCTCAGTGGGCTGGAGTAGATTTTATAAAGACATTACTATTTAGGGCCAGGGAAACATCCAGAGACAATGACTGAGATATAGGAGAGTGTCCTGGTGGTGCCAGGTGCCAGGAGACAATTCTCAACGCTATAGATGAAGTCTTTGAACTGACTTTGTGCAATTTGTTACACAAAGATTGGCTTGAGGCCGGGGAGATTTACAGCATGGCAGTTCCCTGATGAGCTAAGCAGTGATGTAGCAAAGCAGTACCTGACCAACTATCAGCGAGACAGGAAAAAAATTAGTGCATAAGGGTACTAAAACCATGGACCAGGAAGCTGGGAGCTAGATTCTGCACAACTAGACTTCATGCAAATTTGTGGATTTCTGAGATTTGCCACTGAAAATACCACTTCAGAAAAATGCCAAACTTAACGGGTTTGGCAAACAAGTGAATCTCCCACAGTCTGAGGCTGAGTACTGTCACCTGACTGTGACCAGCTATCTCTTATGTATGAACAGCCCTGGTACTGGCTGGCATGTTGACTCCATGAGCTGTCCCCTTAAGAACAGACAGGGACATCAGCAGGATATGTCACCCGTATGAGTCATTCTTTCCAACAAAAATGGCAGGGTTGAAGCTGCACAGCCCTGGCTTTGCAAAATTTAGGGGGAGGTCAAGCCTTCTAGAATAGCCAGAATACTCTGCTACCTAACTACAAATTTTATGTTCACAGGTTGCAAGGCTTGTCTTATCACCAGGCTTGAATGGTTTTGTCCCTAACTACCTGTTTGTGTTAAATAACCTGTCAGTGGAAATTCTCTTCTTTCCCCTACCTGCTGCATGATTAATGTTGTTTGTCCAAACAACCTTGTCCTCATGGGAGGTTTAATCCAAAGATCTCTGGGGCCTGGACTACAGGCTGACTGTGGATTCAAAATTTGCCACTTGGGTCTAGTGAGAGAAAGTAGAGAGGTGGGTCAGGTGCTAGAAATACATAGGCATTTATTTAAAATGCTTTTTAACCAATAAGGGTTTAGTCATAATAGCAGTCACTATTTTCAGTAGCTGTATGGTAGCAGCTATCTTTTAGCACTTCTGAGAATGTCAATCAGCCCATAATGTCAGGAGGGGAATAAGCTAGCTCATCTCTCTGCCTCCACAGAACAGGGAGCAAGCTGGTCCTTCAGAGATGTGATACAGCGTGTATCCTTTGCTTGCATGTTTGAAACCCAAGGTAGCAATTTTCTGACCTGCTGATTGCTGCCTGACAATACACCTAGCTTGGGCTGGCAAGGAAAATATACGACCCTTCATTAGGTAGAGCCTGGCAGGAAGTATTCATCCCATATGGACCTACAGAATTGCTAACTGAGGCTTTATTACTGCTTCAGCATTTATAGACAGGCATTTGCTTTTTTTTTTTTTTAATGAAGACAGGCTCCTAATTTTAAACCCCATGGCTTTCCTGTGGGAATTATCACAGTGTTGAATGACTCATATTTTAGCACACATGGTCCTTTTCCATTTCAAAAAGACTTTAGCAATTTAGATCTGGATTCATTTCACCTAACCTAGGCATTTTAATAAGATGCTTAAATTAGTAACCAAGTTACCCCACAATCCCTTTGCAGCTAAGAGAAAGAGCTGCCTGCAGAGGGGAATTCAGCCTACCTAAGGCCTGACTCATCTTCTGAAGGTACTGGAGCCCTGCATTAATTACAGAAGGAACCCTGCATGACTACATTTCTAATGTGTGTCTCATTAGGCGCCTACTGCTAGGTAGAATAAATTTGACCACAAAGCCCAGCTGTCACTTAGCCACCTAATGAAATGGCCTGATACAGGGATTCTTGGGGATTTTATAACTCCTGGCTAGCAGTGCCCAAGTGGAAGATGTTTGGTGTTGAGCATGTAACAAGATGGACGTTTGTTACACTCTGTCCTGCTTTCTTTGATGACTACAAACTATGGAGTAGTCTAGACATCCGTCTTTTTCTGACAGCTGGAAGTATGGAATCAAATACAATTTTTGCAACTTCCTTTTACAGTTTGTTCATTAAGAAGTCATTGTGCCCAACCCTTAACTAAATCTTTTTCTCCTTATCTGATCAACAGGCATCCATAGAGAGAAAAGGCCCACAGTCCGGTTCAGATGTAAGGGAAGCAATAGCTTTCTTCGACTCAGTTATAGCAGACCTGGATTCAGAGAGATATCGGAGAGTTCCTGATGTGGATCTGCCAAATGTGGATGTTGATTTTGATGGTGCAGTATAAACCAGCCAAAATATTATTATTATTGGTGTGCAGAGTGTAGAGGGAGGAGTAAGACCATGTGTGTTTATTTAATGGATGCAGTTTTCCTCCAAGTGTTACTTCCCAGATCTAGGACCATTACATGCAATATGTGAAACTATAATAATACATTACTTGTTCCCTGTTGAAATGGTGCAGTTACATAAACAATGTAGCATGCTTAGTGCTGGAACAGTGCTTGCCTTCTGCTCAGGGCTGATTCCCAGCCTTGCAGCTCTACCCCAAGATGTCTTTGGAGGATAGCTATAAAAAATATAAGGATAATTTTTTCTTCATCTGGTTTTCGTTTTTCACATTGAGAAATGGCTGGATGTTTTCTCTCCAACCAGAAAAAAAAAAAGAAGTCATTTCAAGATTAGGCTAAATAATGGTGTGTTTCCATCAGAAAGGATGGAATTGCCAAACTACATAAAGAAGTGCCCATCTGAGCTCATCATCTATCCTGTATAATCCGTGGAGAGAAACAGACATTTCTCTTCTTTGTCTTAGGCTAAGGTGGATATCTGTCTTAGGCTAGGGTGGATATCTGAACCAGGCCAGATTAGCTGTGCCCTAGAGGTGTGCATAAAGGGACTAACTCTGACATACATATTTATACTGCAAACATTAAAATACTAGATAAGATGAATCCCACCCCAAGTGACATCCTGCAGTGAAACCAGTTCCAGGAAGGACCCAAGCAGGCACCCTGTTCTCTCACTGTGCATTTAAAAATATCACTGGCAAACTGTTAACACCAGATTATCTTCTGTCTTGCAGTTGCTACCAGCACAAGCGAACACAGTTTACATTCAAATTGGATCCTTCGTGCTCCCCGGAGATACTCACAAGATACTGCCCAAACAGCAAAAGCTGCAAACCAGTCTCAAAGAAACAGCCAGCGGAGAACCACTGGCTCTAGGAAGAGGTTGGAAAGACACCCCATGTACTTGCCCAAAGCTGTGGAAGGCGCATATAGCACTTTAAAATTTAAGCCCAAAACACGTTAGAAAGAATATTGAAAGAATATTCCCTCTTCAGATGAAGACAGAATATATGAAATAGGGCAGGTCAGAGTTGCTTTTTTTTTTCCTTTTTTTTAAAAAAAATCTGATCCATCTCTTTTACACTCTAGAAGTGACATGTGCATGCACTGAAGGTTCTTTGTGTGGGACATATTTTAAGCCATGGCTTTTCCAATGTTGGACTCATATGAGGGTTTAACTCATCAAGTTCACTGTGCCTAACAATACTGCTTTGTCATTCAGCTTGGGGGGAACTCCAACTTGACAAGCCTTTTTTCTAGTGCTGTTGTTGAAAGCAATGATTCAGATTGCCTGGTGCAGTAATTTTTTCATCTGACTCCAGCACTACAAAGCAATTCAAGCAATTCAGAGAATAGGTTGGAGCTTTTTCACCAGTGTTTCCAACTTCAAAGCAGTGAAGCAGAATTTTCTCCTTTTTTTTGCATGTGAAAATTTGTATGTGCCATCATTGACTCTGTGATCTGAGAGTATACAGCAACACTGAGGTACAAGCAGGCTGTGGTACAAGCAGAGAAAGCTGCAGTGAAGGAATTGGCATTAGAAACCTGTGTTTGGAGAACTGCTCCAGTGTGTTTTGAAAAAATAAGCTATCTTGTACTTTGCTTGCCATTGGGAATGGTTCTGTCCTTGGATACAACATCAAGGGATTCACTGCATGCAAAAATGTATACAATTTTTTCCATATGGTTACACCACCTGCTAGTTTTCATCTATTTTAACACCCAGTTCCTGAATCTAAACATCCCAGTGTACAATAGAAAAGCTTAATGTCTTGGAGAAGAACACTTTGTGAATAAATTGAAGCAAAGGTTGTTCTCAAGGGCAGAAGACAACTTGCAGACAAATTCCCTGCATCAGCTCTAAATTATACCCAATATTTAGAAATCTGCTACTTCATCATTAAAGACTATATACTAGGAAGAAAGCAGTCTAGAGGTATTCTTCTTCAGGCTTTTTCATCTTAGAGGTGATATGTCTTCCACGTGATACTTGGAATTGTTAAGACCTATAGTCTGACTTTTACTCGTGTACAGCAATGTAAAAATTCCTAGAAACTGACAAAGAGATAACACCCTATGGAAATACTAGTCTATGGCCCTTCAGATAGGGCAATACCATTTATACCACAGGCATCAGTCTGTGCTTTGTCTTAAGCACCAGCTCATGCTTTGTCTTAAGAAGTTGTTAAGATGTTTGGGATCAAGACTTTGCTTACTTTGATTTTTTCCATCTGGTGTTCAATTGGTGGTTCACTGTCATGGATGGATCATGGTAGCACTGATATGACCAGCTGGTGATTCACTGGTGATTCCTTGTTTCCACATTCAGTACTTTTTGTGTCTACAGGCTTGGATAAATTTCCTAAGGCCCTGGTCGACAGTATAACCCATTTGATATGTCATAACCTCCATAAACCTTGTGCCCACCACACAGAACTTTTGGCAGGTGGCAGTTCTTGCTGATTTGGGTTCCTAGTCTTTGGGACAGAGTTATTCAAACAGCATGAGGTGGAAGTACCTCTCTCAGATCTCGCTGATCTAGGACACTTCCTGTCCTGAGATAGGAGAGTGCCAAAAACCCCTATGTATGTTCCTCCATTCAGAGCTGGCATGTCTTGTGTGATTAAAGCATTTTGTTTCTTTTTCTAGAGGTGTTCGTGAAGGGGAGGGAGGAATTGTTTCTGCAGTACTTTAATTCTGGAGTTGCCTTTGCCACTCATTGTCCAGTCTGTATCCTCTTAAAAATGACCACTTTAATCAGCATCATTGATAAATATTAATGAAGAGTTTAAATTAAGGTCTAGGGTTTGTTTCCCTGCTGTTGGTCCTTCTCAAGATGTCTGTATTCTCTGTACAGTGTTGCTGCCTTTGTACCTCCACAGTCCTGTCCTGACTGCCCTGAACTGAACACTGTAACTCTTAAAACTGTTCTGCCCTTGACATATGATCATTTAAGGCCACTCAGGCAGGTCGGATAGCCAGTGTGCCCCAAACACACCCCTCATTCCTGATATGCCTCAAGGCTGCAGTGTGAGTGTGAGAGACAGCGCTCAAAACTGCACATTTTCGGCAGCTGTGTAACCCCTCTCCAAGCAGAATCTGCTGAAATTGCTGAGGAACATTTTTACTGAGTGTGTGGTCACCTTTTTGCTACTAGAATCTGTAACATGGATAGATGCTGACAGAAAAACCTCAACTGTCGTTTTGAGTTGCTATAACAGAATTAGGCACATGCGTAATTAAAATATTAATGAAAGAAGAAGAAAAGGATACCTATGGAGTTCTGCCCTGGGCTGTGCTTCATGTTCATAGTGCCAAGGTTTTTTCATTGGAGTAGCTGATCTTTTTGCTATTGTCTAAGGATGCACTGAGAAGTGCACACCAGGACTGCTTCAGCATGCTTGACCTTCCCTGTGACTTCTTGTGTCCTTGTAAAACACCCATATCTCTGGTTATCTGGCTCTGACAGAGGGTAAGGGTCCCCCTGCTGTCCAACACACAAACTCCAGTGTGAAATGTGTGCTGCTATGAATAAGAGACAGAAGGGAAAAAATAAGATTTGTAATTTTGATTTGGATTTTGTGATTTTTGTTTTTCTTAATGCTTACTTCAAGCCTGTTATCATCTTAGGAAGTTTTAATTAAGCAAGTAAAATAAAGCAGATTTTCTCTGAGAACATTTTCTACCTCCTATCCCATAAATGCAGTCATCTCCCTTCTCCTTCTAGTATATTAGCCCTTGTGTGCTCCTCACTGGACACGGATCAGCTCCAACAGAGCTATGGAGAGTGGCTTGAGTATCTTAGGACACTCTCTGGGGAGGTGAGAGCTAAGGGTTCAAGCCCAGAAACCTGGTCTTGTGTTACCTGTGCTAGAACACGACAGTTGAACAGAAAGGGAGCAGGAGAGAGGAAAAGAAGCATTTCCAGCCCCTGTGTTAGCTGTCTCCTCAGAGCAGGGTTTAGCATGGATGGCAGCATTGCCTGTAGACAGAACCATGCCCCTGGTGAACACTAACCCACTTTAGGCAGCTTTCCGCGCCGTTTCCAGTTGCCATTGGTAGCCCTACAAAGGTGCTCTTCGGCTGCTCTGAATTCTTGCCCCAGGGGCTTTGGAGTCTGAGCTCTCTGCACAGATGCTAAAGGGACTCTGTCTTCCTTGGGTAGGCCCACTAAATGAATGACCTTGCTGCAACATGAAGTTATTTTCAGGCATTGCAAAGTTGAAATTAAGCAGCTACTATAGGTGCTCTGTCAATGCAAATTGTGCAGAAGAATTATTCATGACCAGCTCTGTATGACCTAGATCCCTTGCAGAGATTATTAGTGAGTTCTTTCAGTCAAGTCCCCAGGCCCTGATAATGAAGCACATCAACTAGGCTGCTCTGTGCAAGCGTTCCCCACAGCACTGATCCCCAAAAGCTCTTTCCCAGAGTGTATTAGAGTAATAGGCAAGATCTTTAGGAGAACATTCTCTTATTTTGTTGTTTCAAATGCAGGGTATATTGGGGTATTTCAGGTTCCTCTAGCTAGTGCCATTGCTGAGCACTAGCTCTGAAGGGGCTCTAGCTCTGAATTTCTGTGACGTCACATCCACAGCTGTCCATGAGAAACTAAAGATACTGTGTACAAGAATCCAGTAATGGAAGAGAGGTAGAGTCTGGTGAAGGAATCATGTCCTGGGGGATTCAAAATAATTTTGTCCTTTTGTGTTGAGCCTCTTAGTGTAATCCTGATGGACGTGAGTTGAAATTGTAAGCATCTTTGGTGGAAATGGAAGAATTATAGGCAGCTAATGGAAAGTTGGCAGCTGGACAGGATGTACGTTCTGGTTTGAATCTTTTGGTGACATAAAGTTACAATGAAGGCAGAAGGTGTCAGCACTGCATTAAGTAATGCAGGAAGTCCTCCAAGGTAATGCACAGGGAAGATATAGTTATCTGCTGCTCCAGATTGAATGGGGTGTCTAAAAAAATATTACATTAACACCTAGTGGGTGTCTTCAAAATTTTCACAGCTGTAGTGCCGTTTGTAGTTCTGCTTGGGCAAATTCAGGAGAGTGCCTGTTATGTTTTCGTGGTGAAGCAAATCCACAGGGAGATGAAAGCAGCATGAAGCTGGCCAGTCACAGCAGGCTGTGTTTAGGGGGCTTTTGCCACCTTTGGGGGTGTAACTCTGAGTTATGCCCATGGTAAAGTAGAATCAAATTGCATCAAGTCAGTGGAATGACTCCTGACTTATCTTGAGGTTAACAGCTAGAAAAGCATGTTGTTCTGAAATAATTCTGAGGGTAAACCAGAACATATGAGCCCTGCTGATTCTGACCAGGCTGAGAAGCAGAATGTAGAGTCTGTTACTTGATTGGCAGTAATTTAGTGCATGGTGAAAAGTTTTCTGCTAACAAGCTTGTCATATTAAAAAATTATCCATCTCTTTTAAGGCAAGACCAGGCATCATCACCTGTCAGAAGAAGAGGTGACCTATTAGAGAAAAAGATGTGATGGAATTAAAAGTGATGTCTTCCACCCTTTTATTAAAGTGAGGCTGGGAAGGGAGCAAGACCTCACCAAGAAGCCTATGGCCACTGTTAGGGAGACACTGGAAGCGCTGCCAAAGTGAAATGTGTAATCGAGCAGAAAACTTTCACTACTAAGTGCTGGGGACTGCCACTTAGAGCAACAGCTCTTGAAGATTTCTAGAAAGGTAGCTAAAACTGTCCCTTGGCCACACGGTGGCAGTTCATTCCTAGCTATTCTGCAGCCCTCCTATTTCTCTGACCAGCCACAGAACTGAGGATGAAAGGGAAAGGGAAGTGTTTTGTCCTGCTTCATCAACAGACCGTCAGTGTGTGTATCTGTTATTCACTTCTAGGCTCCTTAACTCACAAGAATTTGTTTGGCAGTTTCTAATTAACAATAGTTCTTTAAATTAGTTTATTCTTCCAGGGAGTTGTTTTCCTTAGGAAATAAATAACCATGACATCATAGGGGACACTGAGACCTCAGTAAATCATGTCTGAGGTGCTGACCACTTGTCTCTGACTGTGTCTGGAAACAAATGGACAAAGTAATGTCATTGCCAGAAACAATGCACTCTTAGGCACAGAAAATATGAAGATGGATTAAAAATAATAAAAAGAGGATTTGAAGATTCAGAAGTTCAGTCTTGAGATAGGCCTGAGCTGAGGGTTTCTGACCTGATTCTGAAATTTATTCCAAGGCCCAGGAGAATCAATATATAAGTTTTCCAGGTTCTTGGGGCCTGCAATGCTATTATTCCAGAATCTGCTAATCCATCAGTTCAGTTAGTCAAAAGCTAACCTGCTCCTGCAACAGCTGCTGCTGTGTCTTCCGGGGGTATGTTTATGTTTCTTGCATGCATGCTAAACTTCTTGAGCTTTTTTTTGTTTTGTTTTATGCCAAAATGCTCATTTACAGAAAAAAACCAAAACAAAACAAAACAAAAAAAAGGAATATATCTTTGTGCTGGTTATGACTACACATCAGCAACAGATTTATTTCATTAATTCAGATGGCTCTATGGTCTCAAAGTGTTCAGATTAATGAGGTTTCCTGCATTAATAAGGCCTAGGTATAACATCAGCCCTAGGCCTACTCACACACAGGCTGTCGGTCTGGGCTTGCTTGTGGTTTGATGCATGACACTGCATTCTTTTTAAGTGACAAACACGGTACCGTTGTCTCCAGATAATTGTATGGGGAACAGCAAAGGGAGAAGGGAATTGATCAAAAATAAAATATTCCATGCTGTTCCTAAGTTAGTGCTAGCTTTAGTATCAATTTACTGTAGAGAACTGATTCATCACATTCTTACCCTTCAATAGCTTCACTTTTCAGTTTCCAATATACAGAATTCATTTTGTCCCCCTCACCTCAATGATACAGGTCTTTGCTGTGCCAGGAAAGTGAGCAGTTCAGTGGAAGGACTCCAGTGTGAGCAGAGCTGACCCGTAGTTACAGCTGAATAAACTGAAGTGAGTATACTCCGGGCCAGATTTGCAGTCACCCTTAGTGGGATTTTCAAAAGGCACGTAACTAGCATCAGTGGGAGTTAAGTGACTCTGACAATTGCACTGGTGCCTAACTGCTTTTGGAAAAGCTGGTCTGGAGCCAAGCTTGAGCGGACACAGCTACACTTCGAGGAATTAAATTAGACTCACAAGAAGTCCAGAATTAGCCCGGTCTGCCTGTCTGTAAGCCCACAAACTTTAAGTCCTTGAGTGGCATGACCCTGAAAGAAAGACTTGTCAGATTTCTGCAGCCCTTCCTGCTCTCTTCCTGCAGGGCTGTTGGTTGTTATTGAAGTTCCCATGCAACTTGGACCCTAAAGTTTTGCTGATAATGTTCCTGGAAGTGCAATTACTCACAAACCCAGAATTTCTATGAATGTCATGTGAATATGAGAAATGCTGTTGCTAATACAAGTACATTCAAGGCTCTTGCAGAAGTACCCCTCTGCCAGGGGATACTTGCACATGACAACATGGCATTTTCCTCAGACAAGCTGTTATGGCAACATTCCACCACACTTCCCATTCCTTAGGAGAAGATTTCAGACTTGTTCAACCCTGAAGTGAGATATGAAAGATTAGAGTCTGATATCCATCACTATGGTAGATCTGGAGCTTGTCTGTTGACTTTAGAGGGCTGAAAGGAAACAGAAGACGGGAAGAAATGAAATAACCTAAGAGAGATCTCAGAAATAAGAGATTCAGTGCAAGTATTGCCTTTTTAAACACAGTCTACTTCTCATATGCCATGATGCTTTATGGTGACAAAGATCAGCAGGACTTGCCAGGTGCAGCTGGTATGCAACTTGTGGAGAGTACCTGGTCAGCTGAGAGGCTGGACAGGCAATGGACTGCACTTGGCTGGCTAGGCATACCCTGAGACATATACAGGTGGATAGCATCTGAGCTGGCTTAACAGCAGCACTCAAAGAAGTGAGAAGCCTACTTCCAGAATCTATAGATTTCAAAACTGAGGCTTCTCTATTAGAAGTAACACAAACACCACCCACACCCAACATCTCCTGAGCAGCTTCATGTTTTCACCTTGAAACACTCAGTTCAGACTCAGCCCAACAAAAATACTTTTTCTTTCTGTGTTTTCTCCAGAGCAGTATGCCCTTTTCTCCTGGGAAAGGATTTATAGAAATACAAATGCTGGGGTTTATATTTCTCTGTGGATCTCTCAGTCTTGTGTGTCATGGGCTCTAGACATTCAAAACTGTTGTACTACAAAAATATAAATTAAGAAGAAACTCACAGTTGGTGTGCCAGAACAGCAACAAGCAGGAGCAACTTGGTTGCTGCAAAAAGCTGAGAGTACCTGCCCTGCAGAAGCTGCAAGCAGACAGCCAAATCATGGTAAGCTTCCTTCCGTATCGCTGTTTAAGATGAAAATATGCAGTGAGAGAACACTTAAAAAAATTCAATAGCAAGCTTTGTAAGTCAGATTAAAATGCCAATTGCTGTGTGGTTTTCCCAAACAAAACAGTTGTCTTTCACTCCAGGCTGATATGAGATCCATTAATTTCCCATCTTCATTCTGTAAATAGTTTAGCCATATTGATTCTAAAAAAGGATTCAAATTACCTAGAGATCATTTTCTTGTAACTGT